GCCTCGAACTCACAGAGATCCGCCTGCCTCTGCCTCCCGAGTGCTGGGATTAAAGGCGTGCGCCACCAACGCCCGGCGCATTTAAAAATTTTAAATGTTTATTTTTCAAATGTATGTATGGGTGTTTTACCTGTGTGTGTGTATCTGCACCATTTGGTGTGTCTCATGGCTACAGAGACCAGATCATTGATCTCCTGGTATTGGAGTTACAAACAATTGTGAGCCAGATATCTCCTGGTATTGAAGTTACAAATGTTTGTGAACCACATTGTGGGTGTTGGGAAATTGAACTTGGGTTTCCTGGAAGAATAAACCAGTACTCTTAACTGCTGAGACATTTCTCCAGCCCAGTCCTGTCTCCACCTCCACCCCCTTGGGTGTACACAAGTGCTTGTGTTTAAATTACACTTAGATTTGGTGTGTGCACGTGCCCCCAGTGCATGCATGTTATGGAGGTAGGAGAACAACTGGCTGGAGTTCCCTCTTGGAGGTGGATCATGAGACTCAAACTCAGGTTGTCAAGTATGTTGACAAGTGCCTTTTACCTGTTGAACCCTCCCTACAGCCCTGTTGTTTTTTTTCTTTTAGTGACAAAATCACTTTGTAGTCTAGGCTGGTCTCAAATTCTTGGTCCTTCTTCCTTGGCCTCCCAGCTCACCAGTGCTTAACTGTGAGGCGATGTTTTTGTAAATTGAGGCTTTCTCTAGCTTGCTGGAACTTAAGTTATTTTACTTAGAATTGTTTTTGTTTTGAAGATAGGATCTCATATTTCTTGGACCGGCCTGGACCTTGTGTATATAGCCAGATTGGCATCAAACTTGGAAGAGCTGCCTCAGCTTTTTGAGTGCTAGCATTATAGGCAAGGAGCTGCTCTCACTGTGAAGGTTTAGTAGGAAGTTTTATTTCCTTAGAAAAGAAACTCATTTGGAAGGGTTTTGCTTTTGTTTTTTTAGTTAGTCGACACCACTGTGGAGCTGGCAAACAAAGTAGGAGCTGCAGAAATTATATCTAGGATTGTGGATGATCTGAAAGACGAAGCTGAGCAGTACAGGAAGATGGTGATGGAGACAATTGAGAAAATTATGGGTAACCTAGGGGCAGCAGATATTGATCATAAACTTGAAGAACAACTGATTGATGGCATTCTTTATGCTTTCCAAGAACAGACTACAGAGGTAATGGCTACTAATCATTTATTTCTGGTTTAAATTTTATTTTGTGTGCATGTGTGTGGGAGAAAATTAGAGGCAGCTTTCAGGGATCAGTTCTCTCTTTCCACCATGTGTTTCTTGGGGGCAGGCTTGAGGGCAACTGCCAGCCAGGCCCATCGTAGCTAATTATGGTGCCATGTTGCTGGTGACTTTCGTTTATATAGAAAACTGTCCTTTTAAAGCAGGTATCCCTTAAAAGTAATTTAGGTTTGACATTTTAAGTACTAATTTTCCTCGGTTTCAACAAATGTTCTTTTACCTTAAGTTTTTGGATTTGATTTAAAAACTAACGGGATGTTGGGTGGTTGGAATAGATGGAATGTTATTTAACAATCAACTTTTCAGTTAAAACTAAATTCTGTATTTTTAGTGATTTTGTGTGTTTGTTTTTAAAAAAGTGTAATTAGCTTTTTTCTCTTTTAGGATTCAGTAATGTTGAATGGCTTTGGCACAGTAGTTAATGCTCTTGGCAAACGAGTCAAACCGTACTTGCCTCAGATCTGCGGTACTGTTTTGTGGCGTTTAAATAACAAATCAGCAAAAGTTAGGCAACAAGCAGCTGACTTGATTTCCAGAACTGCTGTTGTTATGAAGACTTGTCAAGAGGTAACCTATCTAGTCTACCAGGGTTTTTTTATATATAGATTTTAATATATATATATAAAAAATCCGGTAGCTTAATGGAGAAAGTAACATTTTAAATGTTTCTTTTATTACAGGAAAAACTGATGGGGCACTTGGGTGTGGTGCTGTATGAATATTTGGGTGAAGAATACCCTGAAGTATTGGGCAGCATTCTTGGAGCACTGAAGGCTATTGTAAATGTAATAGGTATGTGATGGCCTGATCATGTGAGAGTTTGGCTTGCAATTTTCTTTGTAATTTGAAAGCAAAATATAAAGTGGTATTTAGGAGTTTGTTGATTTTTTTTCTTCTTTTTTCTATTTTTTGAGCACTTCAGGGTTGTCAGAGAATGTCACAAAGGTCTTCTTTTCCTATTTTATATTTATATTTTACTTAAAAATGTTAAAGGGGAAATTTAGGACTTACAAAGTATGGAAATGGTTACAGCACAAAATGTGTGAGTTGCTGGGAGAGAGGACCCTGGTAGAACTAGTATATCTGCTAGAAAATGATCCAGTCTCTTTTGTGAGGGGGTGGGGCGACCCTGAAGTTGTAATTGAGCTTTAGAAATGGTCTTTGTTTAGTCAGTCTTGTATATGAAAGTGTTTTGATGGGTTGTTAGGATTTTCTGTTTGCAGTGATTTCAAAGACGACGATGAGGTAAAGCAGCAACCTAGCCTATCTTTTAGTCATAAGTGAAGAAGATACAGCTATCAGTCTTGGGTGTCTTTTTCAGGAAGTAATGATAAAGCAAACAAAGGCATTCCTGACTTTAAAATCTCAGTGTAGCTGGGCAGTAGTGACATACAACTTTAATCCCAGCACTTGGGAGATAGGCAGATGTCTGGAGTTCGAGGTCAGCCTGCTGTATGGCACCAAGATAGCTGGGGAAACCCTGTTTGGGGGCGGGGGAGAACATGTCTCATATTTAAGCATAGTGTTTGGAAGTAACTTCTGTGGGATTGAAGGGGCGGGAAAAGGCCAAGAGTTCCTAATACCTGGAGATAATAACCATTGTTTTCCCTGTTTTAGTAAGGAGTGTTTATGCAGTATAGATCTCTGAATGGTTACCTTTACATATAATTCACAGTTCAGCCCAGTCTTGTATGCTTTAAAGATACTGACCTGCCAACAGTCAATTAACCATGTGGAGGTCTCTGGTTTGTCAGAGTTGTAAACCGTGTTATTTGGGAAACATGAGAAAAGTGACAGAATCAGCAAGCAGTTTCAGTTAGAGAAAGAGCCCCTGCTGGCTGCCTCTCCCTCCCCCACTTCATAGGTTTAAATATCATCCAGGCATGCCCTGCACTTCAGGAAGACTGGAGATCTGTTTGGTTTTGCAATTAAGGGGTTTCTGATTTGATTTACATGTCTGCTTTTGCTTATACTGTTGTCTTTGGTCAGAACATAGGCCGTTTCCATATTTAAATGTCAGTGTGCAAATAGCATTTTAAAACTAAATAAAAACTTGTTGTTATTGAGTAACCCTCTTTTTTTTTTTTTTTTTTTCCTGGTTTTTTTTGAGACAGAGTTTCTCTTTGGAGCTTTGGAGCTTGTCCTGGATCTCACTTTATAGACCAGGCTGGACTCAAACTCACAAAGATTCGCCTGCCTCTGCCACCTCCCCCACCCCTCCCAGTGCTGGGATTAAAGGCGTGCACCACCACCGCCCAGTGTAACCCTCATTCTTTAAATCACTGATTTCTTTCATTTCTTTCTTTCTTTTTTTTTTTTTTTTTTTAAATTTTTTTTTTGGTTTTTTGAGACAGGGTTTCTTGTGTGTAGCTTTGCGCCTTTCCTGGAACTCACTTGGTAGTCCAGGCTGGCCTGGAACTCACAGAGATCCGCCTGGCTCTGCCTCCCGAGTGCTGGGATTAAAGGCGTGCGCCACCACCGCCCAGCTTCTTTCATTTCTACATGTAATTAGAAGCTAAAGTTTTAAAAAATTCTAAATCTAATTAGAATCTGGGGCTTTTATCTATAGGTAGCTTGTAAGTTTATATTTATGCATTGCATTGCACAGTAAAAGGAAAAATGAACAGAGGTTGCAGTTCATGTTGTAATAGTTTATTTTTTTTCTGTCAAATAGGTATGCATAAGATGACACCACCAATTAAAGATCTCTTGCCTAGACTCACGCCCATCTTAAAGAACAGGCATGAAAAAGTACAAGAGAATTGTATCGACCTTGTTGGACGAATTGCTGACAGGTAAGCAGATTACCCCAACATTTTTAAGAAGTAGTAACAGTCTCATACTTTGTTTAAGTAGACTGCTTAAACGTTCTTATAGGCAGTATTTCTTTTTAGATTTAGCAGATTTGTATTCAGTGAGCAAGTTTTACTTAAAATTGCTTACCTAAGTGCAATATGGTCAGGTTATCCTAGATTAATATTTTCAGTCAAATTTTACTTTGGCTATTAATAAGAATCAGCAATGTAGTTTTGTTGCTGTTTTTTGGAGACAGGATTTCTCTGTGTGGCTCTGGCTGTCCTGGATCTCACTCTGTAGTCCAGGCTGGCCTTGAACTCACAGAGATCCACCTGCCTCTGCCTCCTGAGTCCTGAGATTAAAGGTGTGTGCAACCACCGCCCGGCTTAGCAGTGTAGTTTTAAAACTGAGCCAGGTTTTCTTTCTTTTTGTTTAATTTTCTTTTGAGGCAAGGTCTGATTGTATCTCTGGCTGGCCTGGAACCAACTATATAGACCAGGTTGGCCTTGAACTTAGATCTGCCTCCTGAGTGCTGGGATTAGAGGTGTGCACCACCACTTTTTTAGTTTTCACTTAATATTTAAGGAGAGTTAGTAGTGGTTTCAGAACTGAATATGCACATTTACTGTTTTTAAACTTCCGTTTGAATGAGGGGTGGGACCCTTATTTCCCATGTGTGAGGCCCTGGGCTTCTTCCCAGCACAACAAAAACAAAAGTCAAAGCACCTTGACATCACAACAATGGTAACTCACTTAATTTTATTTATTTATTTATTTTTAACTAGGGGAGCTGAATATGTGTCTGCAAGAGAGTGGATGAGGATTTGCTTTGAGCTTTTAGAACTCTTAAAAGCTCACAAGAAAGCTATTCGAAGAGCTACTGTCAACACTTTTGGTTACATTGCAAAGGCCATTGGGTGAGTATTTTCACTTTTCTGATAGGTTGTAACAAATCATTGTGTTGGAAAATGCTTTCATGTAGACATCTTTGAGGCATCGAATAGTTAATCATTTGAAGAAAAAGTATTTCATTAACTACTGACCTGCCCTTCCCTATTTTTAAACTATTTCTTTAAATTCTTAATTGAACTAAAATAGATAGAATGCTTTAAAATTTCCCCTACTGTAGTAGAGAGGGAAATAGGTCCATTTTCAGGGTACATTCAAGTTTTTGTTGGTCTTTTTTGGGATATTGTTTAATTTTTTTCTTCTTTTTTGAGACAGGGTCTTTATGTAGTCTTGGTTGTTCTGGAACTCTTTGTAGACCAGGCCGGCCTCAAACTCAGAGGTCTGCCTCCCCAGTTCTGAGATTAAAGGCATATTAAGAGCCTGTGCCCCATGTCCAGCTAGGATATTGCTTAAAATATTGAGGGATGAGTACTCTACCGTCTTAATCTCCATGGTGTCCCATTATGGGCCTCTGTTTTAGTTGCTCTTAATAATAAAAAGAAGCTTCTCTGGGGCTGGAAAGATGGCTCAGCAGTTAAAAGCACTGGCTACTGTTAGAGAGGAGCCAGCTTTGATTCCCAGCACCCACATGCCTTACAATCCACGAATGTAACTCCAGTGTCGGGGATCTGCAGACACACATGTAGGCTACTCATACATACAAAAATAAACAAATATATTTTTAAAAGTTAAAAGCTTTTCTGATAAGGGTTGAGAAATAACACTGATTTATGGGTATAAAGATAAAAACTTAGGGGGCAGTTTATCCTTTAACATAATGACATTTATATCACACCCCTAATCCTCAAGATGTTATGATTGTTTTGGAAGAGTGGGATATAAAGATTGTAAATGCCAGAGGTAGTAGACATCTGCAGCAAAAGAACACTTGTTGGACATGACAGCGTAGTTGCAGACAAGAACTTAGATGAGTTGTAACTGCACTTGACCTGCACAAGATCAAGCCAGTCAAAACACTGGCGTGGATCGGAGAGGGGTTCATGAAGTCTCTCCCCTGTCTGAAGAGCTATTGGCAATTGATGACTGCTGGGAAGAGTCGGTGATAAGAGATGGGCCCCTGTGAGGCTGGCTACACATGCTTCAGCACAGTATCTCTACCCATACACAGAACATTAGCATGATGGGGACTTAGTGGATTTAAACTGTTTCTTTAGATTTATATATTTTATGCATATATATATATATATATATATATATATATATATATATCCATGTATTTACACATATACGTGCCTGATGCCTGTGGAGGTCTTAAGAGGGTGTTGGATCCCCAAGAACTTAAGGTATGGATGGTTGTGAGCCACCATGTGAGGGCTGAGAATCAAACCTGGGTCCTCTGGAAGAGCAGCCAGTGCTCTTAACCACTGAGCCATCTCTCCAGCCCTGACTCAGTGGATTTATAAAAGGAGCACATAAGGTTGGGAGGGCCAGTGGGGGAAGGGAGAGACGAGAGAGATCTTAGAAAGACAAGGGGGGTTTGACCAAACTCAAGTTAGGCACGTATGAAATTCTCGACATGAAGGTTTTTTTCTTTGTATATTAAACTCACTTTAATGTTTGTTGTTGTCATCTAAACCTTTTATGTATATAAGTGCTTTGCCTGCACATAGGTCTGTAGCCACTTGTATGCCTGCTGTCCTCAGGTACCACAAGGTAGTATTGGATTCATTGGAACTTGGAGTTAGAGAAGGTTGTGAGCTACCATGTGGGTGCTGAGAGTCATACCCAGGTCCAGCAGCCAGTGCTCTTAACCTGATCTCATCTACCCATCTGGCTCCGGTTTTTATTTGATTTTACCTTTTTATTCTGGAGAATCTTACTGTGTAGTTCTGGCTGGCTTTAACTTAAGATTAGTCTGTCCCTCTCTTCCAAGTGCTAAGAAGACTAAAGGTGTGGGCCAACATGCAGTATTTATATATAATTCATATCTTAATGTTCACTTTGTGATAAACATGGGAGAAGGGTTAATGGGGAAGATGAGGAACAGATTTTATGTGTTTGAGCATGGGAATCCAGGGTTTTGGATATTTTTGTTTTGGATATTCTGCTTGGCTTTGGAATCCACCATTTAAATTTCTTTATATTTCAAAAGTCCCTCCCCCCACCCCCCAGTCTCTCTGGGTAGCTTTGCGCCTTTCCTGGAACTCACTTGGTAGCCCAGGCTGGCCTCGAACTCACAGAGATCCTTCTGGCTCTGCCTCCTGAGTGCTGGGATTAAAGGCGTGCGCCACCACCGCCTAGCTTATATTTCAAAAATTTAAAGAGTAAAAATTATATTTGAAAATGAGTCTACCTGAATTAACATTAAGAAAAATCTAGACAGGCAGGTGGATCTCTGTGAGTTCTAGGCCAGCCTGGTATACAGAGCTAGTTCCAGGACAGCCAGGACTACACAGAGAAACCTTGTCTTGAAAAACCAAAGCAAAGAAAAAGAAAAATCTGACAATTTGGAGCCTTTTTAAACTTTCTTTTTAATATTTTTATTTTATTTTTTGAGGTTATAATTATATCATTTTCTCCTTCCCTGTATGAAGCTCTTAGGTCAAAAGCCACAATTCTAGTGGCAAGAAAAGTACTACATTGTATCAGAACATTACCAATGTCCAGTGATACTCCATTCCATTCCACTGCAGTTTTTCTTTTCTCTGAGAACAAGTTTAATAGTATGATACCTTGCTGATGTATAATTTCTTGTTTCTTTTCAGCCCCCATGATGTACTGGCTACGCTTTTAAACAACCTCAAAGTTCAGGAAAGGCAGAACAGAGTGTGCACTACTGTAGCCATTGCCATTGTTGCCGAGACGTGCTCCCCCTTCACAGTGCTCCCTGCTTTAATGAACGAATACAGAGTTCCTGAACTCAATGTTCAGAATGGAGTGTTAAAATCGCTCTCCTTCTTGTTTGAGTATATTGGTGAAATGGGAAAAGACTACATCTATGCTGTAACGCCTTTACTTGAGGATGCGTTAATGGATAGGTGAGTGACTAAAACTAAATGTAGAAAGATAATTAACAATATGCTTCATGTTAGACTTTACTAAGATAACTTTTTTTTTTTAAAGATTTATTTATTTATTATGTATACAATGTTCTGTCTGCACATATCCCCACCACAGACACCAGATCTCATTACAGATGGTTGTGAGCCACCATGTGGTTGCTGGGAATTGAACTCAGGACCTTTGGAAGAGCAAGCAGTGCTCTTAACCTCTGAGCCATCTCTCCAGCCCCACTAAGATAACTTTTTTTTTTTTTTTTTTTTTTTTTTTTGGTTTTTCGAGACAGGGTTTCTTTGTGTAGGTTTGCGCCTTTCCTGGGACTCACTTGGTAGCCCAGGCTGGCCTCGAACTCACAGAGATCCACCTGGCTCTGCCTCCCAAGTGCTGGGATTAAAGGCGTGCGCCACCACCGCCCGGCCTAAGATAACTTTTAAATGACCTATTTGTTGTATTGTTAGGGAAGAAACATTACTGTGATGGATTATTTCCCACAATAAGTATAATTTCTTACTTTAATATTTGCTGTAGTGAGTTAGTCTCATTTCATATGTGTTAAGCTAAATACATTTTGAAGCACTTTTTAAAAACAATTAGGGCGAATAAAAGATGAACACGAGTTAATCTGTATGGCAGTGAAACCTGTAGTTTTGTTTTTGAGACAGTGTCTCAGGTCACCCAGGGTAGCTGAACATGACCTTAAACATATTTCCTCACTTCCTCTACCTCCAGAGTGTTGGAACTGTAGACATGTACCACCAGGCTTGCTTTTATGGGGCTTCATACATGCTTTGTAAGCCAGCACTCCACCAGAACATAGTCTTCCCCTTGCAGGCCCCAGTGTTCAGATGGCAGCTGTTAGTTCAGTACTGCTTGTGAATTACTTGGTAAGAGTCTTGCCATTTTACTGTAGGTTGAGGTACAGAATTAATTGTACCCGACAAGATTTCTAATGAAAGCGTAGGGAGGTTCAAGTAGTTACTTTTATGTACAGCTTAAATTATTAAACTGGCCACGTTGCGCCTCCAACCTCTACTACAGAGGCTGATGCAGGAGGATTGAAAATTCCATGCTAACCTGCACAATATATTAAGACTGCCCTGTCTCAAAACAAAATTGTGAAAATTGGGTAGGGTTGTAGTGTTCCTTTCATGCATGAGGTCCTGGATTCAGTCCTCAGTGTATCAAAAGTCACTCAGTAACCTTCATAAGGTCAACTTAAACTGACTAGTGTGGTACCAGAAAGTATAGATGTAATTATGAAGACACATTAGTAATTTCAGTTTGTTCCAGGACCAAACAAAATAGCGGTACATGACCTTGTTTCTCTCTCATTGCTTCTTCATGAGGCATGCCTGAACATTACAACCATTGAAATGTGTGATTTGAGGTTAAAAGTTGTGTTCTAATTAGAGGAATTTTGTGAAAAGTAAACATGACTTGTCTCTTCATATATTGATTACAAATAAAACTGATAGTAAAATTGAAAGTTTGGCAGAACTTTCTGGTTTGGGGATTGTTCATATGAAAAACACTTGAATATTGCACTGCAAATAAATTTGAATTTTATATTCTCAGTTAATATATCAAATTCATTTTAGAACATTGCAGACTTCTGTCAGTTGTACATTTTGTAATTTTCATGTATCAATAATTTCTTATGCTTTTACATTCTTTTTTTGTGATCTCAACTCTTAGAAAGTTTTTCTTCTTTTTTCTTGTTTGTTTTTCAAGACAGTTGCCCTGGTTGTCTTGGAACTCACTTTGTAGATCAGGCTGGCTGTGAGCTCAGAGATCCACCTGCCTCTGCCTCCTGAGTGTTAGGACTAAAGGTGTGCAGCACCACCGCCCGGCTAAGGTTTTCATGTTTTAGTTGTAGAGTTCACAGTATTTGTTGCTTCTATATTTATTTCAAAAGTATGCTTTGGGGATGGATAAGCTCAAAATACATTGTATATAATTCTCAAGGAATTAATAAAAATTAAAAAGAGATGTATTTGTAAGTTGAGGTAGGGGTAACTCAGTTGAAAATGACTAAAAGAATACTCAGTTGGAAAACTTATTGAGAACTTCTGCTTTATTGTGTTAAATAATCAGATAAATAAAAGTAACAGTGTTATAGTTAATATTTAATATATATAGTTACTATTCAAAGGGTGATGTTGTTAATAGCTTGGCAAAATGCATGAGCATGATATTTTTTTTTCCATGTACTCAGAATAGGTACAAAATGAATAGCACATTGATTGTTATGAACACAAATTCAGATGAAAGTTCTTATTTGTGCGGATTTGAAAACCTGATTGGTTTTTCTCCTATGTTTAATTTTTGAATGAAAAATTTGAGAGCAACTTTAATTTGATTTATATGCTGGTATTGACTTACTATCATATTTAAGGTTACAGAGTTTAAAGGAGATACTGTTAGTCAAACGTAATTTAGTTCCTAACATGCAAGTGAATATTTCTCATACAATTAAGACTAACTTAAAGACTTTCCCCCGTTACAGGGACCTTGTGCACCGACAGACGGCTAGTGCAGTGGTACAACACATGTCTCTTGGTGTGTATGGATTTGGCTGTGAAGACTCTCTGAACCACTTACTGAACTATGTATGGCCTAATGTGTTTGAGACATCTCCCCATGTAATCCAGGCAGTTATGGGAGCTCTGGAGGGCCTGAGAGTGGCTATTGGACCATGCAGAATGTTGCAGTATTGCTTACAGGTAGGCTAAATGTGGGGTTTTGTTTGTTTGGTTTTATACAAGCTCACTCAAAAATCATTTAGTTTATTACGAAGTCAGTCACAGCCTAATTGAAGGGGACCCTGCTGAGTGGGCCCCTCCCAGCCCTGATAGGCACAGACTGCACGCAAACACCTGTCTCCACAGAGAGCCTCTAGTAAGCAGTTCAAGTGGTTGTTTTCTGACTCAGACGGAAAGAGAGGAGCAAGTGACCTTGCAGATGCATCCACTCCCCCCTTGGGTTTTTCAAGACAAGATTTCTCTGTGTGGCCCTGGCTGTCCTGGAACTCACTCTGAAGGCCAGGCTGGCCTAGAACTCAGGGGGCCACTCTGCCTCTGCCTCCATAGTACTGGGATTAAAGGTGTGGGTCACCACCCGGCAGCAGGTGTAATTTTTTGTTACTTTTAAATTTTATTTTATGTGCATTGGTGTTTTGCCTGCACATATGTCTGTGTGAGATTGTCAGAAGCCCTGGAACTAGAGTTGCAGACAGTTGTGAGCTGAAATGTGGGTGTTGGGGATTAAACTCCATCCTCTGGGAGAGCAGCCAGTGCTCTTAACCACCGAGCCGTCTCTCCGGCCCATCGGGTGTAATGTTTAAGAAGAGAAAAAGGGGAGGTTTGTGTTAGAATGGGCTAGGTTGAGGTGGTCTGTTTTGATTGGGCATGTTAATTAGGTGAACCAAAGGGGGGCTTTTGATTGCTGGACTTGAACCCTTTTGTAGCTGGACCTTGATGGTCTGCCTAAGGAGGAGGAAGTGACCAGATGTGTGAAGAACTTTGGGGACCAGTTTTAGGAATGGGATGGGGAAGGGTGAGGCCTGTTAGAGCCGTGCTCAAGTGGGCTAATGTCCTTTACTAATTACCACGGGGGTGCAGTTCTACATTGAGGTAGGAATTAATTTTGTCTTTACCCATTGCAGTTTTGTGCAGTTTCCGGATTTTTTTTTCCTTCCCTCTTCAGAGGAAATACTTGTTTATTTTTTGAGACAGGGCCTCACTCTGTAGCTCTGGTTGGCCTGGGACTCACTATGGATTAGGCTAGCCTTGGACTCCTAGATAGATCAACTGCCTGCTTCTGCCTACCTCCTGAGTGCTGGGATTAAAGGTGTGTCCCATCACGCCAGCTAAACGAAATGCTCCTGATCCTGTCCTCACAGCTTGTAGTTGTTAAAGTAACATTCTACCTTCTAATTACTCTAGGGCCTCTTTCACCCAGCTCGCAAAGTCAGAGATGTGTATTGGAAAATTTACAACTCCATCTACATCGGCTCCCAGGACGCGCTCATAGCACATTACCCAAGAATCTACAATGATGATAAGAACACCTATATTCGATACGAACTTGACTACATCTTGTAATTTGATTGTGTGTCTAATACACAGCTGTTTCACACCTTAAACTTGCTTCGATCTGATGATATAAACTTGTAAACATTGCAGATCAGTGTAGAGCTGGTCATAGGAGGGGGTAGAAATCCAGTAGCATGATTTTTAAATAACTTTTGTTTTTGATGTTAAACAGTAAACGCCAGTAGTGACCAAGGACACAGTGATTACACACACTATACTGGAGGGATGTCATTTTTTATTCATCTTTATGAAGATTTAGAATTCATTCCTTGTGTTTAAAGGGAATGTTTAATTGAGAAATAAACATTCGTGTACAAAATGCTAATTTGTGTGTGTTTTTTGAATATAACTTGTAAAATGCAGAACTTTGGTAAAGTATTGGTTTGTGTAGAATAAGTGGCCTAATTTCATTTTCTGTTACCTGGTTTATTATGGAACATAGCAGAACACATTATAAAGTGATGGTCTCTCTGTCAAGTCCATTGTTTGTTGATGACGAGAAGAGTACCTTTGGGCTGCTCCCCTCAGTGTAGCATAACCATTCCATCACCATAGGAAAGTAGTACTTTGAACTGTCGTGAATATTATTTTGTACTTACATAGCACCTTTCACCTCTTGATTTCTCAAAATGCTTTATGAATGGGCAGAAAGGGTTTATTTTAAGTCATGTCCAACTCTTAGTGGGCCTGTGTTTAGGAAGTGGAAAAGCTGCCTATACTTCAAAAGTGTGTTCTTCCCTTTGGGAGTGATGCTAAGAAATGCTAGTATAGTAACAGTCCTTGAACTTCTGTGGTAGGCCACTAATGAGTTTATTCAGTAAGCAGCTATTAAATACCTGCCGCATGCTAGGCACTGTCCTTAGATGCAGGGGCTGCAAAGGTGCATATGACCTGGCTTTTGCCTTTTGAAACCAGTATAATGGAAAAGGGGGCATGCGCCGAGTCCTTATGTACCAGGGTGCTGTGCAATGGTAGAAGCAAAAATGCCTGCATTTGCTTAGTTTGTAGCAGTCAGATAATACATGGGTCTAAATGTGCAGCATAAGCCAAAATGCCCCTCCAGTCCTAGAACCAAACAGTAAGGCTCTGCTCTAATGTTTTGGGGCAATGAATCAATCGGTTTTCTTTTATTATTTTATGCTCTAAATCTCTTGTTTTTAAGCCTTTTCTTCCCATCAGTGTTTTGTCTCCCTGTTTGTACTTGTGTGGATTCTAAAGGAAATAAATCCTGCCGCCGTCAGTGTGACTAGCCTGTGACTCTGCTACCCTCAAACTTTGCAGCGGCACACTAGGTAGTCTGTGCGCCTGTTAACAAAAGAAGTCTCTGGCGGGAGCTTAGAGGAGACACACCTGCTTTGCTTCTATAAAAGTGATACTGAACATTAAATGTTCCCAGGCAGGACATGGTTCCTTGTTCCTTGTATGTGGTCTGACTTGTTGACAATGTATATCATTGTCTAGTAAAATCAACCGTCAATTTCCAAACCACTTTCCTGTTCTTAGAATTTTTCTAGCCATCCCCTATGCACTTTTAAATACTGTTCTTTTGTATAGTTGATTTCAAATAACCCTTGGTGATTTTTAATCTTGAGAATTGAATATAGTTCTCAAAGTTAAAATTTGATTTTAAACCATTCTTGGGAAAATTTAATGTATTATCAGTTAAAATACTTAACATAGCTTAAGTTTGTTTATCTCCTTGCTATTTATGGAAAATAAGCTTTGCATTAGAAATGCAGATGAGAGGAGACTGCTTGAGTGACATTTTCCTAATGGAGGTCATTCAAGGATGGATAAGGGGGGGAATGCTAAAGGCTGGGACCTCAAGATTTTGACCAAATAGACGCTCCAATTTTTGGATTGTTTAATGCTCTTGTTAATAAGAAAAGCATTTTGTGATAAACCCTTGTGAAAGATGTTATGTGAAGTTTTAACTCTTCTCAGAGACCTTTAGCACTTGGTTTTGATGTTTCTTAAGGCAAAATTTAGGCAGGAAGAATTAATGTTCTTAGGGGAAAGAGGGTGGGTTTTTCTCTGGGCTTTCCCCATGGGCCATTGCCCTCTGATGGAATTGATTTCTTTGGCTGTTTGATTTTTTTTTTTTAATATTGTATTTTTAAAATTTGTTGTATGGTGCCCTATGAGCATCACGTACCACCAGATAAATAAAATTTATTATATTTAAAGTCTTAGTATACCAGTTCTTAATCTCAGTTGACTGTATGGTATTGTACTCTGTTGTGGTTTACTATTTTAATTAGAGCTCCTTGGGTTGCTGGCCAAACACTTGAAGTTAAATGCTAGGACATGGTTTTCTTCATGAAATTAGGAACTGAGGTGGGCACAGTGACACAGGCCTCTTACCCCGCACTTGAGGCAGAGGCAGGAGGGTTACAAGTTTCCCTGTCGGGGGTCTATAAGACTGCCAGAAAGCCAACAAGACAAAAACGAAAGCAAGTTGAAGAATAATTGCAGCTCTATCAGATAAGCAGTCTGGTCAGGTTTCCAGTGGAATTTACATTTTGTAAGGTTAATTGAAGAGATAGGAAGATAAAATACAGCAATCCCAGAATTACTCTTTCTGCACTAACATTTTATTTAGGCCACATAAATCCTATGTGTGGGGATGGCCTATAAATGTACCCCCAACTTCTGGCTTAGGTGTCAGGGACATCCCATCTCGTATGTGACCACCAAAAATGCTTCTGGGCATCAACTTTCATCCTTTGTGGAAGTAAAATCTTCCAAGGTTGAGAGACACAGCTAGCTTCAGACTTGGGGGATTTTGAAAGGCTGACTTTAAATTCCTGGTGGTCCTTCCTCTACCTTCCTGTGGCTGGGACCACGGCTCATGCCACCGTGCCTATCTGGCCTCAAACTTTAAGTAGGACTCACGCCTGCTAAAGTATAGGATGTGTAGAAAGCATTTTGTTTTAAGCAAAAATGTCTGGAAAGTAACTAGAGGTTACTTTTTTTTTTTTTTTTTTTTTTTTTTTTTTGGGTAAATGGCCATGTAAGTTCTGTGGAAAGTCAGCTGTGAGAATTTGTTCAGTTGTCTGTCCTCCGAGCATCTGTATGGTACACTTGGAGTCTGGTGCAAGAGTTCAGTGCCATCAGCACCTAAGGAGGCTTGTTGCTCCATTTGGACTGCTGCTGGTCTCTTAAGACCTGAAGTGATAACATAGGTAAGTTTGGCAGACGTCATAGCAACGTTAGAACTCTTGAGATCTTAGACTGCATTTACTGTGTACTCAGCTGCTTAGGTTGCCTTTAAGAGAACAATGTCATTATCTTCCAATGCCTTGGATATCTCATGTCATCAGCTTTTACAACCCAAGTTAATACATAGCTTTTTAATCTTAAGTTTATGTACTCTAATGCTTCTGACCCAGAATAATGTATGTGTATGTTGCTGAATGCAGCCAACAAGTTGGAAGCAACCTTATACAACATTGCCTGCCATAAATATTGCTTGATAATGTATGTTTGCAGTACAGAGTGTTTCTGGGTCAGATGGGGTCAGTAAAGTTACTTCTTCCCTGGTAAAACTCGTATTAAAGATTTCTGTCAAGTGTCCCTCATTCCTTACCCATGCGGTGCCTTCTGTGCTGTTCAAGAAATACTGAGGAAAGACCTTTGTTAGCGACAGCAACAAGGACAGACCACACAGGGAAAGGCACAGAGTTTGACCAAATAGACGGAGGAAAGTGACCACAAACAAGACAGAAGGAAGGAAGGAGAGAGTTCAGATTTGGGCACACTTTTAGTCAAATCCATTCCAGAGGAAGACTTTTCTTCCTTCCTGCAACATTGACACATTGAATCTCAGGTCATCTGTAGTACATTAACCAATACAGACATTGGCATAGGAAGCTGTGGTGGTGGCCTCTGGGACCTCCTTGACCAACAGAATAACAACTTTACAGTCCGCTCTTCCAAAGTGATCACTGGGCCTTCAGAGAAGGGGATGTGTGGTGGTTTGAATTATAAATGTCTGCCCTCGTTTTGGGCATTTGAATCCTTGGTCCCCAGTTGGTGGTAACCTGGGGAAGTTTAGGTGTGGCCTGTTGGAGGATGTGTGTCACTGAAGGTGGCCTCTGTGGGCTAAAGGCCGGTTTCTAGTTTGCTCTTGTGGCTTCTTGCTTGGGAGTTTCCTGCCCCTGGCACCATTTTTGCCATAACTCCCTGCCGTGACTGACTCCTTGGTCACAGCAACAGAAAAGGAACTAATCCAGGGCTGTGATGACAGATGTCCCACTTGGAACCGAGAACTCTGTTGTCTCTTGTTTGACCTGACCAGCTGTGGGTCTCTATAATTATCTATTGCAAAAAGAGCTTCCCTGGTGAAGGTTGAGAGATACATTAATTTATCAGTATAAAGATAAGAACTTAGAGCAGTGTCTTTCAACCTTCTTAATGCTACTGCCCTTTAATGTAGTTTCTCATGTTGTAGTGAACCTCAACCATTAAGTTATTTTTGTTGCTACTTAATAACTGTAATTGTGCTGCTGTTGTGAATTGTAGTATAAATATCTGATATGCATGATATATGATATACAACTCCTGTGAAAATTGTTTGACCCTCAAAGGGGTTGTGACTCACAGGTTGAGAAACACTGACTTAGCTGGCCAGTTGATTACTGTTTATTCAGCAGAATAATAGAGTAGATTCTCCTAGTGCCTAAGATTAGCTAGATAATGGACTTTTGTTTGTTTGTTTTCAAGACAGGGTTTCTCTGTGTAGTTTTGGTGCCTGTCCTGGAACTCACTCTGTAGACCAGGCTGGCCTTGAACTCACAGAGATCCACCTGGCTCTGCCTTCTGAGTGCTGGGATTAAAGGCGTGCGCCACCACCGCCTGGCTGATAGTGGAATTTTGATCCAAATTAATGATACCAGGCCCTAGTTCTGTCTTGTGAATCAGGCTTTAAATCTAACGAGACAGTGATTGGTTACTCCTGTAACATTCATGCCACTTTTTTGCCAACATACATGTTATTCCAAGGCAGTCTTCATTGTGCTTACAGTGTGCACAGTTGGGTAGGACTGTAGTGAGCATAGGACCTTCAGGTGGAAAGACCAGTTCTGGGTAGGAAGAGGAAAACCAGTCCTGATTCCATTGGGAAGGAAGTACGGTAGGATGTGAGCACATAGTTTGTCCATGCCGTATTATTGTCTAAATACAAAAATACTTCAGTACCTCAGAAACAAATGCAATAGGTCATTTGGGCAGAACAGACAACAAAGAACAAACCCTGGGTTAGCACTGGCTTCTATGGCCTTGAAGTGTGCTCTTCATCCTAGGTGCCCCATAGTTCATTTGCAG